ACAATCAAATCGGTGCTAAAGGAGCAGAATATCTTGCCAATGCTCTACAAATCAACAAAGTAACAACAATACTCGTTCTTCTTCCTCTTCACTTCACCTTATCACTCACATCCTTCTAACATAGGCACTCACCACACTCAAGTTCGCTTGGAATAAAATCGGTGATCAAGGAACTCAATATCTTGCCAATGCTCTAGAAATCAACAAAGTAACAACAATACTTGTTTTTCTTCTCCCTCTTCATTCCACTTCATCATTCACACTCTTTTGACGCAGACACTCACCATACTCGATCTCAGCGTCAATGAAATCGGTGCTAAAGGAGCACAATATCTTGCCAACGCTCTACAAATCAACAAAGTAACAAACATACTTTTCCTTCCTCCTTCTCACTTCACTGAATCATTCACACACTTTTCTCACAGACGCTCACTACACTCGGCCTTGAACACAATGAAATCGGTGATAAAGGAGCAGAATATCTTGCCAATGGTCTAGAGACCATCGAAGTAACGATAATACTTATTCTTCTTCCTCTTCACTTTACTTCATCATTGACATACTTTTCACACAGACACTGACCACACTCCACCTGAAATTCAATGGAATCGGTTATGATGCAAAGGAAGCACTTCGGCAAATATGCGAAAAAAATACAGGACTGAAAATAGCTGTTGGTGACGATGAATATGTACATGAATATGAACCTGTTGATGAAGATGATTACTAACGATAACCACCGTAAACAAGAATGGTTTTACTTTTAATGTTTATAAGATTTTATACTGGATGAACAAATATATGTGATGTTTTGTAGCAATAGGAGTTTTCTTCTTGTTTCTATAGTTAGTATAGACTACAGAGTTGCGACGATTGTTGAAAGTGTATTATTCTAATCGGCGAGGAATGAAAGAAAAAGGAAATTTATGAAATAGTTCGCATGGTTTTATCATAGGATTTCCACAAAAAAAGCATTTTTCGATTGAGAAATTGATGGTGATCATACCTAAAGAAATAAATATCCGTTTTTATGTTCAGCGAGACGCATATGAGATTGTTTTCGTAGCATTAGTTTCATTTGGAAGTACGAGTAAATATTAGTGGGATGAAAACATTTCGAAACGTGCAAGCTTGCAATATATTAGTGACAAGTTGCCAGTGTATCGGTACCTATTTATTAGAAATAAAGAACTCTCATGCAATATTTTATGTATGAAAGATTGAGTAACTATTAGAATTTTTGAAAATTTTGGTATCTATACACCTAACTTTTTGAATCCATTTAATTTTCGAGCAACTAGGCTTTTATATCCTCTCGGTATTCTTTGTTTGAAGCGGTATTACAAGAAAAGTAATATTTTGAGTAAAAACTTAAGCAAACGACTAAAACTCCTCATTCATCTGTCGTAAACATAGGCAAATATTAAGTTCTTTTTTTCTAAGAATGGTTTACTTAAAACTAAAAAGAAGAAGCCGAACATTTAGGAATGACAGCTGTACTTTCTTCATGGTATGCAGCTCTTAGTACTATAATCCCAATGAACACGATTTTTATTTTTACCTTAATTAAAACTGAACGTTCAGGTTTCCCATGCAAAGAACTCGACGGATATTTTAATACATCATTGATTGTTATAGTACACATAATGAATTATTTTACTTTAGAGTCTTACAAATATCGCAGAGCTTCGGTTTTTATAGACTGAGAAGTATGTCGATAAACTGATGTGTTCTCTTTGTCTTTCAAATGAATAGTACATGAATACTTTAAATAATTCTCAATTCAATAAAAATTTTAGTTTGATTAAAGTTTAACTGAAGAGGAATCAGTCACATATACATTCATGAATATTTGGTTTTATTATGATGCATTTAGAAAGGACTACAAATATTCCGTTACAAGATTGAATGGTGCTTTGTTTACTGCACTATCTTGTGTCACGTTGCTTAATCATGATGACAAATATAAAAGTCAAAGTGCATTCATATGACTTCTTCTTTCAACAAGAATTTTATTATTTTTAATCAAATAGCAAAAAACTAATGCAGTAAGAAGTAAAAGTCGATGGGAACATAACATTTATAAGTATTTGAATACCATAATAGGTATACATTCAAGATTATATTGACAACAACATGATTCAACCTACTTTCCTTATCGACATATACCTCATGACATTAGTCTCTCATAATGAACCATAATTAGATAGTATTATTTTCACAATATTCGTAAAATTTCAGTTCAAATAGATATATTGCTATGGTAGACGAAACTATTTTTTAAGAAAACACATTTATATGCGCTGAAATTTTGAATATTTTAGTTTTTACAAAAAGTCATGTAGTAAATGAAGTATTAAGTAATATATTTCGATCTCTAAAACTTATGTGTCTAGAAATATTCTTCTAAGTCGTATTTTCATGGCAAGGAAAGTACTTATGTTTTTTTGATAAATTCCTATATTCTCTAAGATTGATTTTACTTCCAGTATGAATATGTAAAATATTATACACAACTTATAAATCCGCAATAATAAATAAATAAATTCATGTAATTGTTTTAAACAAAATAACAATTCAATTCAGATTTCCGTGAAAATCTACTATTTATTTGAATTTTATACTAAGAAAAAGAACTGTTGAAGTATGATTAATACAATAGTAAGCGTAATCGTCTGTTTAGTTCTTCTTTGGAGCGGAATCACCAAATAGGTGAGCACTAAATTGTGGAGGGTAACGATCACCTTGAACATCAGCTTTTTCACAAGCATCACGAATTTTTTTAACTTCTTCTTTACTTAATTTAACTTGAGCTGCTCCTGCATTTTCTTCTAAGTTTTTTATTTTTGATGTACCAGGTATTGGAATAAAATCATCACCTTGAGCAAGTATCCATGCCAATGTTAACTGACCAATAGTACAACCTTTTTCTTTAGCCAATGCTGTTAATTGATTAACTAATTCAATATTTTTAGGAAAGTTTTCTTTAGAAAAACGCGGTAACATTTTTCGAAAATCACCTTCTTCTAAATCATCTGGACTTTTAATTTGTCCGCCGAGTAGACCACGACCCAAAGGTGAATAACAAACAATAGCTACGCCAAGTTCACGACATGTTTTCAATAAACCAATTTCATCTCGTTCAATATCTAAACTAAATGGTGAATATTCAATTTGTACACAAGCAATTGGATGAACAGCATATGCTCGTCGAAGTGTATCACTTGAACATTCAGATAAACCAAGATATTTAACTTTACCAGCATCAACAAGTTCTTTCAATGCACCAACTGTTTCTTCAATTGGAACTGTTTTATCAATACGATGTGCATAATAAAGATCAACATAATCAAGACCAAGACGTTTTAAAGTTTTTTCATTTGCTTGACGAACATATTCAGCATCACCACGAACAGAAAAGCTTTTCCAACCAGGAGAGACAACATTTGCAAATTTTGTTGCAAGAAATACCTATATGTTAGGAAATATGATTGGAGTTAAAATGAAAGTAATTTCTTTTAAACAGGAAAAAAATTATTGAAACACTTTGTTATTTCAAGTAATAAGTGATCTGTTATAATTTAGAAATTATCATTCGAACTTGCCTAGGCTATGAAAACGTTTTACTAACCTTTTTACGTTGTTCAGGATATTTTTTAAAATATTTTCCTAAAAGATCTTCACTATCTCCATACATATCAGCACTATCAAAAAAAGTACATCCAAGTTCAATTGCTCGATCAAATACTTTGAATCGTTCTTCATCTGATTGAACAGTTCCACGTCCTATTGATAAACCCATAGCTCCAAATCCAAGAGCTGATACTTGTGGACCATTTTTACCCAATTGATGTGTCGGTACTTTTGCCATTTTTTACAATGTAATGTAGAAGAAAAGAAAAATTTTGATGTCTTTCGTTTCGTATGAGAAAGGGAAGAAAAACGTGGTTTATATATATGACGAGCGAGCAAACTGGAGGAGAAAAAACAATAAGCGGTAAGGTAAATGTAGAAACGTTCTAAATTCAGGATTTTGTTCCGTTCTATCTCGTACTTTTATTATGACCTTATAATGTTGACGTCCTATTTTTAGCAATTAAAATGTTCGATTCGTATTGGATTGAATGAGAGTGTCACTAGATAGAATCATAGACAAGGGGGAAAAGCGAAACTCCAGGAGTGCGTACTTCACTCGTACTTCACTCGTACTTTACTCGTACTTCAATCTACTTCACTCGTACGTCACTCGTACTTCAATCTACTTCACTCATACTTCACAAACATGTTGAAGTGGATGAAGTCTCGTTTTTTTCCCTTGGGATAATTCTTCTAAGAGATCTATACCCACGCCCAATCGCCATTTTTGTTTTTCTTTAAATTTTAAATCAACAAAGATTAACAAAAGATGAAGTATTTAACAGTTATTCTTTAAAAGTTTCTAGCGAAAACTACCAAATAAAATTCAATTTTGATGGAAAAAATCCCATAAGACTTTTCTTCGTTCTTTTATTCAATAAAAAGTTCATTCACAAAATTATATCAAATTTTGCAACTCGATGATTTTCAAAATCAGCAACATAAAGATTTCCTTCATCATCAAAAGATAAACCATTGGGACTATTTAATTGATTTGATTGAATTCCTTTTCCATTTCCACCAACAACTATTTCACCTTCTTCTTGTCCTTCACACCAACGCATTACTCGATGATTCTTACTATCTGCCACGTAGATTTGACCTAAATGATCAACAATTACTCCTTCAGGTTGAGATAATTCATTGCGATTTCCTCCAGCCACAATTTTTCCTTCTTTTGCACCTTTTCTCCATTTCATCACACGACAATTGTTATAATCTGATACATAAACAGATTGATGTTCGTCAACAAATATAAAAGTAGGATAATTGAGTTGATTAAGTTGATCTCCGTGCCCATTTCCACCTGCCACTACAATTCCTTCTTTGTCATATTCTCCGAATTTCCATCGTCTCACTTCATCTTTCCACCAATCAGAAACATAAAGAAATCCATGTTTATCTATTGCCAAGCCACGGCAGTCAATATTCTTAATAAGAGTTTCTTGATTTTGATTCAACCATCGAACTACTCGTCTGTTCCCTGGATCAGCAATGATGATCGAATGATTTTGTTGATCAACAATTATATCTGTTGGACCATACAATTGATCCATCCGATCTCTTTCCCTGTTTTCACCAGCAACGAATTGTCCTTCTCTTGCATTATGTTTCCATTCAACGATTCGATCATTCCAAAAATCAGCAATGAAAATATTTTTCTTTTTATCAATAAATATTCCAGAAGGACTATTGAGTTGATTTAATTTATGTCCTTTTCCATTTCTACCAGCTACAGTGATAGCATTTTGTTTCCATTTATTGCATTTCGATGCTAGGAAACGATGGAAAAAAAAGATTTTGATGAAAAGAAGAAAATGTGTTTTTCATCATAGAAAAGAGAATACAATTGTTCTGTTATGGAAATGCTATTTCTTAGTGCTGATCATAATTATTCTGTTTTGACAATAATGCTTTCCATTCTGTAGCAGATTTGTTCTGTATTTTATTATTAATTTCTTTTAGACGATTATATGATTTCATATATCATTAGGTAAAATATGGGTGCGTAAGTGAGCTATAAATTTGGAATTTACGTGTGGAGCTTATTTTTTTTTTTGGAACTAAGAAAGATGTCAGTTCTTATTTTTTCTTTTATAACAAAACTTTACCATTCATTGTTGTTGTATGAGAATTAATCGACGTTTTAAGAGTTGTTGGTTCGGCCTTTTTCATGAAATCAGCCCACATTGAAATACTAATGATAGTTATTAAGATAAGAACTGCGATGATAATTGAAAAACAAAAAGCAATTTTTCTATGAAATAAAGATCTGGAATGATAGATATATTTCGAATAAATAAACCAAACACTTACGATTCTGTTTGTGGACGAGAAGATTGTTTAATATTGTTTTTATTCTCTGATTCCGACTAAATATTAAAAAACGTTCATTCATTTAGAATTCTTTAGAAAGTATTGATTGTTCTCTTAATTAACCATCGAATTTGTTGATTTGTGAATCTTTCCTCGAATAATAATGAAGAAAATTAAATCTCTTTCAGAAATATTTTATTTTGAGAATGAATATTTCTTCATAAAGTTTTCCTTAATGTATTTTATCTATTTTTAAAATTTATTTTATGTCGAATTTAATAAAAAAAACAGATCGATTTATTTATCATCAAGAAAAACATATATAATCTACTCTTTTCAACTTTTGCTTTTCACCAATCGATTGTGCTATTATTGAAGTAAAAAACATTAGTAACTCAAAAAATGCACAGTTGAATACTCTGACGTGTTTCGTACCTTTTTTTTAACCTAATACTCTTCAGAGATTGTATATCTATAATTAAAAATAAATAATTCATTAAAGAAAAAAATATTTGATACAGAGAGAAAGAAAAATATAACACCACCATTTTGAAAGCAAAAAAGTAAGGAGAACATCTACATATTCAGAACAACATATAACAAGATTACAAACAGTTCGCGAAAATCAACACATACTGGCTGAAAGAAGAGAAGAAGAAGAAAAAACGAAAGAAAAAGAAAAGGGAGCCCTTAGAATTATGTACTATTAGAGTATAGAACCGGTAACGAGGTAACTGGTTAAGAAAAGGAATGAGGTGTAGTCGAAAAACTTCTACATGAAGGATTCTGGGAAGGTCAAACAATAATAAATCTTTTCTTTATGTATCTCTCATCAATAAAGCAGACACGATATCGGTATTTAATAAGTTCATAAGGGGATTTTTCATTCTACGAGAATATTCAATTTTGTAGCTATGTGTACGAACGTGTTAAAATAAAAAGATAAAGAATGATTCAAAAATTTGGATTACAAAACTCGAATCGTCTCATAATGTGGACGTGATCGCATTTATTTGTGCAATGTGCAACAATGCCTCTCTCCTTTTATATGCAGATAAAAAAGAAAGTACAAAAAAACTTAATTCTATTTTATTGATATTAGTTTCAACAAGTTATGTATAAGATATTGTAAGATTATAAATATCATAGAGAAATTAATTCTTTGATATATCTTCACATTACTATAAAATCATATGAAATTGTATACAGAGTTGCCAAACTTCCTGATTTTTAAACTTTTCCTCTGACAATATTTCTCCTAATTTCTCTTGATTTTTAATTCTTCTCTTCAAATTCCTTCCCATAATGGAAGCCCCTACCATATTAGAAGCCTCCTATGAGATGAGAAATATGTTTGACGTGTTAGAAATCCCTTTGATTTTTCCAAAAAAATTTTCACATTTTTCAAATTTTCTTGCTAAAACTGCTAAAATTTTTCGAACTTTAAGAAAAAACTTCACTGTTTCCAATCTAACTGTGCTAAAATCTGAAAATACCGTGAAAAATTTTCTGAAAAACTCATAAAAACCTTGAAAATCTGTAGAAATCTTTCGAATCGTTTTGTAGTCACAGTTTATGAAAGGTTTTTTAGAATTAATAGAAGCCACCCTCTATAAGCTTCAGGTGGTGGACATATTAAAACTCCATGAGGACTTCTAATATATTGAGATCCTGTTAGCTCACGTAAAATTAAAGAATTATGAGATTTTTGATTCTTTACAGTATGTGAACTAAAAGAAGACTAAATAGTAGCACGTTTTAGCTCTTTAGAAAATTATCTCAGAGTTAAAATCCAAGGGGTGTGGGTCCGTTGCTTATTTAACCCCTACCCTCAATATTTTTATTGATTTTGTCGAACGAAATACATTTATTTCTATTTTTTTTATTTTTCAACAACCGTTTTGCTGAATAATTGAGTTTTCTTCTTATTATTCATCTGCATTCGTTGCGTTTCTCTTAAAATGCAATTGCTTTCATCATGAAATTGGAAAAAAACAGGAAACAAAAAACTGGCATATAATTCAATTCAAATAATGTACGGCAAAATTTATTGTAACTACCTTTTTTCTAGCTGTCAAAACGTTTCCTACATTCAAAGTTTAATCAAACTCACACAATGTACTAGAATTGATTTCTCTAATGATTATTTCACTAAAAAATAAATTTCCTGATTGCATTGTTTTTTTAATAAATGAAATTCACCTTGGCATTTCAGAGAAAAAAAGAAGACAGCTATGATATTTTTCTGAAAGCATTAACAAAATGAAAAATAAGGTGTAATGAGTGAGGAGAAAGAGTTAAAAATCATTTTCACTTGAATACATTTTATAAAGTTTATATTTCACTACCTATGGCCTATGCAAGAGTATTTCTACTACTTTTGTTTGTGTATCTTGCACAAACAATCGAAGTTGATAGAAGATCATTTAAAATGTCTGTAATGAATGGATGGCGATTTCAGTGTGCTAATACAACTTGTTTACCATTTAATACGGTTCGTGTATCAAACATGCGTAACTGTCAAATGACTTGTTTAGCTCAAATTTTTTGTGAAGCAGCTAGTTTTTATACAACAACTTCTAACTGTGATTTATTTGCTTACATATCGAATCACATTGGCAGTATGTCAGCTGATACGAATACTGTCACTATGATCGTCATAGCTGCAACGCGAATACCATCAGGTTAGTACAAAAACAACACATAGAAAGAAATAATTATTTTCCGTCCTTATACGAATAACGTCAAAGGAATAGTGAATGATAATAAATTAGATGAATTATCTAAAGCACTTATATGTACACTGAGTAATATGATATGTAATGGTGGAATACATTGATATAATTGCAGTATGAATAATACCATATGATAAAACGTTAGATAATACATTCAAAACTTGAGACATTGTTAATATATGAAGAAATTTTTGTTTTTTTCCGCAATAGAGCCAACTACGACATCGACAACAACAACTTCATCAACCACCTCATCATCATCATCAACATCGTCAACTTCATCAACCACCTCATCATCATCATCAACATCGTCAACTTCATCAACCACCTCATCATCATCATCAACATCGTCAACTTCATCAACCACCTCATCATCAACATCATCGTCATCAACCACATCAACCACCTCATCATCATCATCAACATCGTCAACTACATCAACTACTTCATCATCATCAACATCATCCACGTCAAAAACAACATCAACTACAACCAGTAAGTGATCGACCAGGAGGGCATGATTACAGATGACAATGGCAGATAAATATGATACCGTCAGTTTTATGTCATGCTCAATTGTTAATCTACATCTATATAATGTCAATTGATCATCTATGATAAATATATACAATGATGCTCAGAATTCATCATTCATCTAGCATATAGTGTTATTTCTTTGATAGCTTGGAATGATATCAAAGAAGTAACATTATTTGCCATATTTATGATCAATTTTGAGTGCCATTGTGTGTCAACAAAATCTTTCACACATTATTTTGATTAGGTACAACTGCGGCAACGGCCGTTAACGTTCTTCTGGCTGGTT